TCCCACCAATCATAAGAGAGCCAGGAAGTGCAACCTACTTTAAGAACTGCCCTAAAGTAGAAAGTGGTAAATAACTGGTCAATGGCACAATCCAGTTGCATATGAATTTCATAATCAAATGTATTCTAAGACTGGTGAATAGAAGCCCACCTTTGTTAGAGTTGCAGGCCCCTTCCTCACCTATTCTGAGATTTAAGAGGTCCTTTTACCAGCACAAGTATATACTGTACGTATTATGCACCTTCCTCTTAGTCTTCCACACGGGAACCTGTGGTCTCTTTGTCAGGTTACTGCACAAGGTAAAGGGGAATCCTCAGTGCTTTCATTTATATTTAACCCTGACTCTGAGATAAAACCAATTCATTGGTACCAACAGACTTAAAGCTTCAAGTGAGAACTGAAGCTTTGATTAGAATCAACCAATCCCACAGGGAAGCAATCATACAGGGTAATTTCCCCAGTTTCTGAAAGTACAAAGGAAGAGAGGACCCCCTTCCCTGAAAATATCCCCTGGTCCCCAACTTAAAAAATTAGCCTATTATAATAGGAAAAGCCACATAGAAATCTCTGAAGCACCCTTCTTTGGCCAAAGGAGGAAATGAATAAAAAGTAAGTTCATTTCAAATCTGTAGATGCTCTATAGAGTTTAAACTCTAAGATACATCTCCAAATGAAAGGATCACATGACAGTTGGAAGAAACCTCATTCAACTCCTCTTGGAAGTAAGTGATGGACAGGTAGATAATCCTTGGCAATCCTTTCCAGCCTGGTTTACGTCTAGGTTCCTTCCCCTGAAAACCAGAACAAACCAGATTCAACTACTGTAATTTGGCAGCCTGAAACATCAAACCGGTTTTTCCTGCTCATGAGCCATAAATTCAACTCAATCGTTTTAACAACTATAATAGTATAGGAATGAAATATTTGGTAAAGTGATAAGTGGGAACCTGAGGCTTAATTCTCTAAGAACAGAATTTTGGGTTTTTTGTATTTTAACCATTTTGGATAGAAAGCCTTTACAAAGGACTGTCCCCATAGCCCCTGCCTCTTTCTTTCTTGTGTGTTGTCTTTATTTCCTGCTGGGTCTTCTAACAACCTCTTACCTAAAGCCATTTAACTCCCTACACTACCAGCCTTGGCTCTGCCTGAAGATACCAATCTGGGGGGTGTCATTTTGTATGCGTAATGCTTGCAGTGTAAACTGCACCAAATACTGTATAATTTGATTTGGTCTTAATTTCTCTTGGGTTCCATAGGGAACCCCCGTTATTATAATGCATTCATGGCTTCAATAGGGTTGTCAGATTTACTAAATAAAGATATAGGATACCCAGAATTAGAATTTCTGATAAGCAATGAATTTTTTAGTATATTACATAGGAAACAATTATTCATTGTTCATTTGAAATTCAAATTTAACAAGTCTTCTGTATTTTATCGAGCAACCCTAACGAGGTATCACTGACGTACATAGTTCTATTAGGCCCTTGCTGCCCTTAGACCGATACCTAGATCTCATTTGTCTGTATCTCTTTTCTTTCCCTTCCCTTTCCTTCCCTTTCAAGATGGGTCTCACTACATTACACAGACTGGAGTGCAGTGGCCACTCACAGGTACAATCATAGCACCCTGCGGCACCAGATTCCTGGGCTCAAGGAATCTTCCTGCTTCAGCCTCTGGAAGTAACAGGAACTACACACATGCACCACCACGTCCAGCTTTGGCTGTCTTCAGAGTGTCAAAATTTTACAGTTAAGATCTGTTGTGATAGAGAAGCCAAAACTAGTCCTCTGGCTGGTGTCCCAGATTGCTATTTTTCTCTTTTCCTTCATGGTTGTCTCTGTTCTTCACTGATATTTCTTACCTCTATTGCTACTTTCCTTTTCTTTTCTTTTCTCCTCTTCTCTCCTTCCCTTCTGTCCCCTCCCCTTCCTTGCCCTCCTCTCTTCCCTTCTTCTCTTCTCAAGTCTCAACTTTGTCATCCAGGCTACAGTGCTGTGGTGTCAGCCTAACCCACAGCAATTTAAAACTCCTGTTTCAAGCAATCCTCTTGACTCAGCCTCCTGAGTAGCTGGGATTACAGATATCTACCAGAACGCCCTGCTAATTTTTCTATTTTTTATAGTGACAGGGTCTTGCTCAGGTTGCTTGTGAACTCCTGAGCTCAAGAGATCCTCGGTCCTCAGCCTTTCAGAGTGCTAGGATGACAGGTGAGAGCCACTTCACTCAGCCATGTCTACTACCTTTTCTGTATATTATGCTCTTTCCTCTTCTGTCCCATGTTTTCTTCCTTTGACAGCTAAGTGTAGTGCTTAAAATATGTACTTTAAAGGGAGACAAAGATTTGAACCCCAGCTTATCTTTCATATAAGGAACATATGGGAACTACAGTAGTTACTTAGTGTCTGTAAACCTCAATTTCATTTTCTGTAAAATTCAGGTACTGATGCTCACTTTATAGGACTGCTGTTTGAGTTAATTGAGCTAATGTAGGCTAACTAATAAGGGTGACAGGATTGTTATTATCAATAGAGCTTCAGACTATGGATACTGACTTGAGATGTTGGATGTCCAGATTCACAGTTCAGGCTCAGCTGAAATTCTTGCCCTGGTGGGCATTTGTAGTGTCTGTCTTCTCTTTGACATCATTACCACCCAGTCTAGTTCACTTCAGGAAATCATTATTGAGTTTCTAACATGTGCTAGGAGCTAGAGATCAAAGATAAATATGATAGTGTTGACCTCAAGGTAAGTATTGGGAGGAGAGGATAAATACAAAATAGAATCACAGTACAATGAAGTAAGTACAACTGCCTAGATACACATGGATGCCTCTATCTGCTATGGGACCACAGAGTAGAATTCAGACTCTTGGGAGGAAGGAGACAAAAAGAAAATCTTTCATCTGGGATGATATCTGAGCAGAGAATTAACAGTTGAGTGGGGCCAGCTATGGAAATTATGAAGGAGTAGTGGAACAGTCTTCTATACTTTTTGAACAGCATGAGAAAAGGAATGGAACTATGAATGGCATATACGGGGAAACTCCAAGCAGTTCAGTATTATTGAAGGATAAATTATAAAGCTAGGAAGGGCCAATGAAAGTACTACTTTATTTTAGTCATCAGCTTTGGTGCACATGGTTTTATTTAACATCATCATTTGTGGGTTGTATATACTTGGCCCTTTATTTTATTTTATTTTTTTTTGAGACAGAGCCTCAAGCTGTCCCCCTGGGTAGAGTGCTATGGTATCACAGCTCACAGCAACCTCCAACTCCTGGGCTCAAGCGAGTCTCCTGCCTCCGCCTCCCAAGTAGCTGGGACCACAGGTGCCCGCCACAAGCCCTGGCTATTTTTTGGTTGCAGCCATCATTGTTGTTTGGCGGGCCCAGGCTGGATTTGAACCCGCCACCTTAGGTGTATGTGGCTGGCGCCTTAACCACTTGAGCCACAGGGGCCGAGCCGGCCCTTTATTTTAATTGTTGTTTTTCTTTGCACAGATTTTTGGTTATTTTCAGTTTCATGCCTATTCAAGGTACCAAAGTGAATGTTACTGTTTTGTAATTATTATAAATTCTCATTTTTATTATTTTAAAGCTTTCTGAACAAATTAAAAGGTCTTTCTTTTTTGAGATCAAGCCTCAAGCTATCCCCCTGGGTAGAGTGCCATGGCATCCCGCTCACAGCAACCTTCCAACTCCTGGGCTCAAGCGAGTCTCCTGCCTCAGCCTCCCAAGTAGCTGGGACTACAGGCGCCCGCCACAATGCCTGGCCATTTTTTTGGTTGCAGCCATCATTGTTGTTTGGTGGGCCAGGGCTGGGGATTCGAACCCGCCACCTTAGGTGTATGTGGCTGGCGCCTTAGCCGCTTGAGCCACAGGCGCCAAGCCAGTCTTTCTTTTTTCTAAAGAATATAGACCATGAGATGTATTTTTCTTGCTGGTGTATTTTAAAAAATATTTTAAATCTTTCCTTCCCCTTAAAACCATATATATTTGCTCATTACCTACTATTTTTTAATGTATGTATATGTACACACACACACTCTCATACAGGCAATATTGTAGGCTCAATTCCAGACCACCACAACAAAGCAAATATTGCAATAAAACAAGTCAAACGAATTTTTGGTTTCACAGTGCATATACAATTTATGTTTACGATATACTGTAGTTTATTAAGTAGGCAATTGCATTATGTCTATAAAAATGTATACACCTTAATTAACAACAATTTATTGCCCCAAAATGCTAATAATTATTTAAGCCTGTAGTAATTCCCCATCGTTTTGTTTGTGGAGAGACTTAAAATAGTAACATCAGAGATTACTGGTCACAGAGCACCATAACAGACATAATAATAATGAAAAAGTTTGAATATTCCAAGAATTATCAAATACTGTGTGACAGAGACAGAAAGTGAGCACATACTGTTCGAAATATGGCACCAAGATTGCCACAAATTTTCAATTTGTAAAAAATGCAGCATTTGCGAAGTACAACAAAGTCAAGCACAATAAAACGAAGCACAAAAAAAATGAGATGTGTTTGTGTATAAATGGATCTTAGAGTGGTGCCTAGCTGTTATTATCATGTATCAGGCACATCTGATTTCAAAAAATTGGATATATATTAAGATCTACTATGTATTTCACCATCCAGATATTTTCTCAAGATTATATTAAAATAAAACTTTTAAGTTAAAATTAAACTTTCATTAAAAAATTTAAAATTAACTCAGTTATTTGATTCTATTTTTCAACTTTCTCTTTTTCCTAAGTATGTTTCTCTTAGACATGGTTTTAAACATTGCAGTGTAGAAACAGGCATACTTTATAGCAGCATTGCGTTAATAGGAAAGGGATAATCCTGTTCCATTATTTGATGATCCTACTGAACCTAGAATACTAATTTCAGCTTGTCCATCATCAGAATGGGTTCTAGAGGTTGGAGGGTTTCCACCAAAAGATATTGGAAGGCCTTTAAAAGGTGACGTGTAAGGGATCCGTGAAACCAGGAAGGGTGGATGCTGCTCCAGCTTCCTCTTTTCTCCCCTCACCTCCTAGTTAATGGCACCAGGCCCATTTGGGACACCACTTCGGGTTCCCCCCAATCTCAAGGTCTCAGTCAGGTGGGAGAAGTGGAAGAAGTCTTCTTGTAGACTACTGGTTGGCAGCCCTTATCAGAGCTAATCTGGTTTGTTTTCAGGTAGGTATCAGGTTTATGAGCGGGTTTCCTTTCCTTTAAAGATCCTCCTCCCAGCTCTTCTCTGGGTCCTTTGCCCCAAAGGACTTTGCCCTTCCTTTTGCAGCCAGGGACCGTGGCACTCTTTGCAAACGGACAGCCCCGCTGAGTCCCGCGCCAGGAGTACCCCAAGTGCCTAGCCCTCTCAGGAGGTGTCCAGCTGGAGGCAGTGTCCTAGGTGGTCACCCACAGGGAAAGCGGACACTGGGGGCTGCCAGCTGAGCAGCCCAGGTGCGTCCCCTTAGAGACGAAGCTGATGAGTGCCAACCTGGGGCAGCCGGAGCCGAGCCGGGAACGGCGTTTGCCCGAGCCGAGGCGGAAGCCGGAGCATTTGGGGGACGGGACCGCGGGAACCCGGAAACGCCTGGGCTGCACCGAGCTGTCGGCAGCGACGGCGGCGGGAACGGGTGGCGCTGCGGGTCAGCGGTCGCGGCGGAGCCGGCGCGCTCGGCAGCCTGGGGCACCCGGCGGAGCTGAGTCGCCGCCGCCCCCGGTGCGCGCAGCCGGAGGAGCTGCGCGGAAGGTGAGTCCTGGGCGCTCCGGGGGAGGGCGGGCGGGCGCCCGGAGGCCAGCGGCGGCGGGCGGGTCGGGCAGCTCGCTGAGGAGGAGGCGTGCATGGGGGCTGCGGTGGGTGAAGGGAACCGCTTCGGAGACTTGGAGTCCCGTCCTAGCTAAATTGGAGTGGGAGCAGATGAAGTGACACGTAGTAACTCGGACGGACGGGACGGCGTGCGGAATGTGCTGGGTGGAGGAGGAAAAGGGCCTGCGGAAAGGGGTGTGTCAAGAGAGTGAACACGGCAGTGTGTGCCTCAGTCTGGGGGAGGCCAGAGCGATTGACAGTGGACAGGCTGGCGGTCGGGCTTGCCTCAGGCTTGGCTTGCAGTCCTGCGGTGGGCACGGATCCACCAGACCTGGACCTTGCGCCCCAGAAGGCGCGGGGACTTCGCGAAATAGAAAGGCTGTCCTTGGTAAGGCTAGAAAAGAGGGGCGGTGAGCGGTGGGCTGAGATTCCCATCAGAACAGGTGCGTGTGTGTGTGTGTGTGTGTGTGTGTGTGTGTGTGTGTTGAGGGGAAGGTTCCAAGTGTTGAGGAAAGAAAGATTTTAATTAACATATTTATTTAAACCAACTAAATAAAACACGTCTTAGTTCAGGAAGGTTACTTCAAATTAAAGAAGAATATTAAAGGTAGTAATGGGCCTTGCTTTAGTAAACTACTTAGCATTTCATTGCTTTATAGTAGAAGACCGAATCTCTTTTTTATGTTCTCTTAGTTGCAGTATTTGAAAAGTAAATCTTTTTATTTTTAAAATCAACACGAGTTTGGTAAAGATGCAATTTGGTAGTTTCTAACTTAACTTTTACTCGCTTTCATTGGTAAAGTAAGTTTGTTTCCTTTAATGGGACAACTTCTGAATTTACATTTCTGATCCTAATTTTCCTCCTATGTGTTGATTCTACTCCTTCGGCATTTCAGGTTTAGCTCTGCCTTTTTTCATTCCCACTACCTCTGTGCTAAATAGGCACTTCTTTCCTCATTTTAAGTGATAGCCGTTACTTCCCAACTGGATTTGCTCCCCCTCAGACTGGCTACCTTCCAGTCTCTCTCCTTAATACTGCTTTGTAAAGCCAAAGGTCTTATGCCATTCTTTGGTCATTTTTCTATCAAATACTCAGTGACTCTCTGTTGGCTTCAGAATAAATTTTAATTTATTTAGCATTCAAAGCTCTTTTGAATTTGAGTCTGTCCATGACTCCAATAAAATCAATATGATCCTTTCCTTTTAAAAATTATTATTTTTTTCCATGTGCTGGCCACCAGAGGATTGTTTTAGCCCAGGAATTTGAGGTTGCAGTGAGCTATGATAAGGACAATACACTGTAGCCGTTGTGACAAAACAGGATTCAGTCTCCAAAAATATAAAAATAATATTATTGTTGTTGTTTTGAGACAGAGTCTCACTTTATTATCCTGGGTAGAGTACTGTGGCATCATAGCTCACAGCAATCTCAAACTCTTAGGCTCAAGTGATCCTCTTGCCTCAGCCTCCCAAGTAGCTGGGACTAAAGGCACCTGCCACAATATCCAGCTATTTTTAGAAACAGGGTCTCAAACTTCTGAGCTCAAGCAGTCTACCTGCCTCAGCCTCCCAGTGTGTTAGGATTACAGGCATGAGCCACCACGCCTGGCCAATAATAATAAGTTATTATTACTTTATTCCACATATCCTATTTTTCAGTCAAACTGGAGTCGTTAGTCTGAACTTCTGAACAGGCTATATAACCATGTGCCTTGGTCTTTACTTACATCCGTTCTTCTTACAAGAAAGGTGTTCCTACTGTCTTTGTAGAAATTGTATTTACTCTTTCATCCCTTAAATACTACCTTTTTGCTTTTGAAGCTTTCTGAAATCTACCATGATCTTTTTCTGTTGTGTTCTGGGCTTTATAAATCTTACAGTACTTGTTAAATTTGCATCCTACCATGGTTATTTGGGAGTTTTATTATCCTTATTAGAATATAAGCTTTCTAAGGAAAGTAATTTTGCCTTTTACAGTCTTTAGCACATCAATACTTTAGTACATCATGATTTATTAGACTCTTAATAAACATTTGTTACATTAAATCATACAATGAAACAAAATCTCTTATAGTGTTCCTGGATACAAAATTAACTCTTAATTGACTCTTGAGTTGTGGTATAACTTTACTATAGATTTTATTAATAATTTATATTTCAAAGTGCTTTTCTGTTAGTACCTCATTCGATCTTATGTATTGAATCTTTGAGGTAGGACAGTTATTATCACCTCCATTTTATACATTATATTGAAGGTCAAACAAGTCAGATAGTTTGTCCTCGGTCCTACATACACTCCTTAGGCTGCTTTAGTTATTTATGTATACACACACAGTGTGTCTGTATACTGTCTCTCTCTGTGTATATATATATGTGTGTGTGTGTGTGTATATATATCTCTCACACTTTTTTTTTTTGAGATGAGGTCTTACTATACACACATTACTCATGCTGATCTCAGATTCCTGGGCTCAAACTATCCTCCCACCTCAGCTTTCTGAGTAACTGAAATTATGGATGCCCACTAGTGTACTCAATTTGCCTCAACTGTATTTGAAATGGATATAGTTTGTATTCTCAAACACTTAGTGGGAACTCAGTATGTTGAATGAATGACTAGATAAATAATACCATCAAGGGAAATAATCTTTGTTGTAAGCCTCATTTTATAATTTAGTAGCTATGAAGTGTATCTTTTGCACTTCTTTCCTTTTCCTGAAATTTTTAGAGGGCAAAGTTTCTATTTATGTTAATCAACTGTGTAATTTTTTTATGTGTGAAATTGCCAAAGATTTAGAGTCAATTCTACAGCTGTCTGGGTAACTGAAATAGTGTGAAGATCATCAAACTAGCAGTTAGTATGTCATTCATGGGTAAGAATTTATTATTAAAGTTTGGATCAATATGAATTGATAGCCTAACATTAGATTTTAGTCCTCTCAAAAACGAGTGCATGCTAATTAGATTCAACTTAATTGCCCCTTAGTAAAGGAGATAATGGTTATATATTTTTAATCATTATTTTTAATGTGTTTTGTTATGTAAATCTTAGAGTGTTTAGTACATAAATTTGAAAATGACTTTAGAAACTAGAATGTTACTTAGCCTTTCTACCTAGACTGTCTACCCAGAACTCTTACTAGTTTGTAATCTGTATTAGAGATACCATCCCAAATGAAACCAAAGAACCAGTTTAAGATAAGTTGCTGTATGTTTAGAGATAAGAATTTTTATTGAAAAGGTATGTTAGATCAGGTCTTATAGGAGAAATTAAGAGTTAAGATGAAGCTGAAACTTTTAGATCACATCAGATAAAATGCTAGGAAACAAGTTCATTCCATAAAGTGTCCACATAGGACTCTAGAACTTTATATCTATTCTGCCTGGTTTTTTTCTGTGAAAGTTGGATAGGAAAGTTTTTTCTAAATTCATATGTACTACAAAGTTAATTTAAAACAGCATTTCTTGTAGTTTTTTTTTGTCATGAGTAGGTCTTTTAAAGGTATTCGATGAATAAAGCATTATAGTATAAAAACCACTTTATCTGATTTATATAATTCATAGCCATCCTCATAACTATCCTATGAGACACATACTATTATTTATCCCCATTTTATAGATGACGAAAAGAGACACAGGTTAAGTAATTTGTTGCAGTTATTAAGTGGTAGAGACAGAATGTGAACTCAGTCTGAAACCAGAGTCATACTCTTGTATACTGTGGTGACTGACCCTCTAATACTTAGGCATGCTTAAACCCAGGCTACTGCAGTAACCATGGATTTTGATTGAGAGAAAGCTTAGTTCATATCTGAACTCTGCTGTGTTATGGAAGACAACCTGTGTACTTAATATCTCAGAACCTTAGTATCTTAATCTATGAAACAAGTGAAACACGTATTTCCTTTTACATAGTAAATGAAATTTAAAGAAGATAATGCTTAGAATTCAGCTAGCATAGTGTCCAAGTTTATTAAACTTGTAGTGTTAAATTTTCTTTTATTTATTTCTTTTGTATAGTTACAGTAATTAGAAAACATTTAATGATAACCAGTTTTGGGTTTGCATCTGTCTTTTATGTCCTATACAGAGATTTATAAAGAGATCATTCACCCCCTTCTGAGGGTTTACATATTGTGGAGTTTATCCATTTAGAATAAATGCCTACTGTATGACAGGTGCTGGTAAGGAGGTGCAGGAAAAGAAGGAGATGTAGCTATGTCAACAGATTAGTTGGGTAAACTTTATGAATGCTGGTATAAAGGATATTTGCAAGAATGCATGGGAGTTTAGTAGAGGGAAGGATTCAATCCACTTGGAAGCCTTAGGAGACTTCACTGAGAGAATACTTGTATTTCAAGCTCCTAAGATATGTAAAAGTCTGAAGCAGGGCAGCACCTTTGGCTCGAAGGAGTAGGGTGCTGGCCCCATATACTAGAGGTGGTGGGTTCAAACTGGGCCCTGACTAAAAACTGCAGAAAAAAAAAATCTGAAGCAATCTTTTTTTTCCTCTTCTATAAATTGGAAGAACAAGAATTGTTGGGCTATAATTGGTTCCATAGTAAGACTGAGTACATTGGATACTTTTTCTTCCATTCTTGAGATACTTTGCTAAGAAGAATATGTTCCAGCTCCATCCATGTAAACATGTAAGAGGTAAAGTCTCCATTTTTTCCTTAAGGCTGCATAATATTCCATGGTGTACATATACCACAGTATTGATCCATTCATGGGCACATGGGCTTCTTCCATGACTTAGCAATTATTAATTGGGCTGCAATAAACATTCTGGTTCATATATCTTTATTAGATAAATTTATCAGGTGTAGAATATAAATGTTTTAACACAATAACTAAGAAAATGCCATGAAGGCTATGTTAATCAGTTTGATGAAAACATTTCAAATTGTATATAAAATCAGCACATTGTACCTCATGACTGC